GGAGATGATGTTAAGGAGTCTAGGAAGAAAATTAATGTTTGGGAACTGATTGTGGTAGCAGTTGTACAGTTTTACTTGATTTGATTGAACTACGGATGATATCTGTATTATCTTCCAATTAATAAAAAAAAATAGGCTTTTAAAAAAATTTCTTTTTAGAATAGGCGTTTTTAAGGTTGGGTGTTAAGCCAGTAGTGTTGCACTTAAATATTTGGTTGAATTTTAGAGCTCCATTGTCCCAAACTAATGGGATGTGAACTACCTCAAAAGAGTAGGCTACCATGCACTGTTCCTTCTATTGTACGATTGACTGTAAGGATCCCTGGTAGTGCGGTGGGCAAGCTGCTGTAATGCTAACCCTCAGGGCCAGAGGTTTAGACCCTTCAGCCTGACCTCCGGGGAGAGATGGGGCAAGCTGCTCGCATAAAGAGCCATCGTCTCAGAAGCCCTGTGGGACAGTTGTCTGTGGTCCTCAGGGTTGCTGTAAGTTCAGATTGACTTGACGGCATTGGGTTTGTCTTTGGGCTGGTCATTTGCTGCACGCATTGGGTCTGTAAGTGGTTTTCTTTTTGGTAAGGAAACAGGCAGTGGTAGGAGGGGGACCCTCCACACCCATCCTTTTGTGTGCATTAGTGACTCTGGCTGGTTATGGAATAGAAAGCTTAAAAGTTTGTGGCCCAACCAGTGAATTCCTGGCTTCATTCCCACTATCTCTAGAAAACCCGAATTCTATTACTATCTCTTTGATTTATTGTCTTTTATTTTATGCCATCACTGTATCTTTCACTTTACATGTGTTTCCTCTTAAACAGTCGAAGTCATGAGTCAGTCGTTTTGTCAGTGGTACTAAGTGCCCCGAGTTACACCCCACAGGACTTGTCCCCTTCAGGGGCTGTGTCTGCAGTACTGGGGGACAGATTTCGGCCTGGTACACCCTAACAGTTTAGTGAGTTCATTCACACTTCGAGCCGCCCTCTAAGGCAGAGGAGAGCTGCCCCACAGGGTTTCCAAGACTGCAAATCTGTATGGAAGCAGCCAGCCACGTCTTTCTCCCCATGAGCAGCTAGCTGCTGGGTAGGATTTACTGCCTCTTCACCGCAGCCCCGCCCAGGGTTCCCTTATACTGACCTAGACCCAGGACCCTCCAATAGATGCTGACTCACAGTGACCTTGTCGGACAGGGTAGAACTGCTTCTGTGGGTTTCTGGGGCTCTAACTCTTTACAGGAGCAGACTGCCACATCTTTCTCCCACAGAGCAGCTGGTGGGGTCAAATCTCGTAGCTCCTGTTGACCAGCCCAACACTGAACTCATTGCACTACTAGGTCCCATTAATAACGTGCAGAGTGCTTTGACCCATGCCAGTGTTGCATTAAAACTAGCTCGGGTTCTGCTGTCGAGAGTATTGCTGAATTTAAATGAGCAGAATGTTACGGGGGAGATGTCCTTGGTGATCCAGCACTGTATTGTGAACTGGATTTAGGCCTGAATCTTGGAGGTAGTGGTGTTGGAGGGAAGCCCAGGCCTGCCAGCCTCTGCTGCCCTTGCTGTCTGGGCTGGCGGTTTGCATGGACCGAAGCCTGCTTTGCTTCTACTTTGTGGCTCTTGGTGCCTTTTTCTGTTCAAAGCATAAATGATATCTCCATCTACTGAGACAGTTCTTGCCTTTTTATAGGAAGCCATGTTTATAAAAATACTTTGCCTTGTTATGTATTTTGGTGATTACCATGTCTATATTTGATGTTCCAGGGTTTTTACCTTTATTATAATTATTGCATTTGAAAAAAAATTATACTACAAAAATATTCTAGATTCATTTTAAGAAAAACATTAATAGCCCTGAAAGGCAAGCATGTGTATTCAAATAATTGCAATCATTCTCAGCCCGTGGGCTTCAGCCACTGTTATATTCTGGGTGTTGTCCATCAACATGAAATACCCTAATTCTGCAGGGAGCTAAAAAATTGAGTAGGCCTGGAAAATCCACTCCAGCTCCACTTCCTCTTGAAAAAAAATTTTTTTTGAAACATTTTATGATCAGGTATTATCAGTCTCGGTTAACGAACACCAGACAAATATGAGTGTGTATTAGTAGACTTAGCACAGCAGCTCCACCATCCAGCATTTGAACATATGTCCCATCTAGAAGACTTTTCGAGGATCCTTTTGTGGAAACATTTTCTCGTTATCTGTTTTTAATTAGTGTATTAATATATACTCATCTATTAAGGTTTGGTGAGTTATGATGAATTTGAATTACAACGTATAATGTAACAACATCTTTAAAAAAATTTTTTTGTAACAACATCTTAAAGACAAGTTGACGCAATAATACATATCCTTCACATTGTCTTTCTGTTTATGAGGGTTATTTGAGTTCAAGGCACTCACACACACACACACACACACACACACACACACAATGGGGAAAAACATCTCTCCAAAACAATAGCCCTCATTGATGGAAAAATCATGGTAATGTGGTGCTGCCCTTCCAGTCTCGTTGTTTTATTTCATAGGGAAATGTGGCCCCATGTGACTTTGCTCTGTACAGAATCACTGGACTGGGCAGGGGCACTGTCACCTATCACCTCTGCATGGAAACGATCCTGCTTCAGGCAGCGTGCCTGCCACGGCTCACACCGAGTAACGGGTAGTGCTGGGACTTGATACTACGTGGGTGCTTACTTTTTAAAGCTACACTTTGCTGCTTTGAGAGTTCCTAGTTCCTTGCCCTCCCGTGCCCTTCACCTCAGTGTGCTCCACGTCTCTCTGTTTTTGTTGTGCATTCAGTGAAAGTTTGCCCAGGTTATGTCCTGGCCGTGGGTTTCAAATCGCCCTGTATTTTCTAGTTAACTCAGCCTCTCTGTACCCAGAGCTCCCATATGAGTGGTGTGGATTTACTGCAAGGGAGCACGCACCTCTCATCATGCCTGGCTCCTGTGGTGAGCTGCTTTCCCTGCTGGGAGGAGGATCTGCCGTGAAGGAATCGTCAACAGGAAGTGGAGGCTGCAGAGAAAGCTGCTGTTCTACAGTGCAGTTTTGGTCGTCTTTGAACCTTTTTCAGTTCTAAGGGTTTTGGTGTACACGTGCCTGCCACACACACATAAATATTTAGTAGGTTTCCCATCTATTTCATTCCTAGGGATACCGTGGCTAAGTAGCCAGTGCCATAATTACACACGAGACAGGTTGCTTTGATTACTACTGAAACCTTGTTGTCTGTTATAACCACGCCCACCCTGTCTCTGTTGATTCAGTGCTGACACCTGCCCTCTACCACCACGGGGACCAATCAGCCCCATTGTGGGCAAATGTCGGGGTTCGCTTAGGGCAGTGCCCACTGTTAATCCTGGTGCACATAAAATAGCAATTACAGGAGTCTTAAGAGATGCTGGGGCCCACTTCACAAACTTGTTCCTTATGGTTGTGGTAAAGGGTATGTCCTCAGGACACCCCCTTTTTGGGTCTATGGGGATAGATCCATTCCAACATACCAATTTCTCTAAGCTTTTGGATGCCTTCCTCTACAGTGTACCAAGGTAGGTCAGGTACTTCAAGTTGGTCTAATCTAGGCCATCTGGCAGTCCATGCTTCATTGAACCAACCAAATAAAGAATTAGATCCTCTCTTAGCCTCTCTCGCAGAGACACAAAATGAAGGCCAGTCTCAGTTTGGAGTTTGTAATCAGTGTTGTCTAAAGAGTTGGCAAACACAAGGTCAGCACAGACTTCTGTTAGCTGTGAGCTCAGTCGCTAATAATAGTATCTTTGTTTTGTCTGACAGGATTCGAACTTTATGAAGAACTGCCAACCCCCAAGTTCAGCTTTGGTGGCAGATCTGGAAACAGCGTAGCAGTGTTGGTTCTCCAGAAAATCCAAGACTTCTCCTTGGATCAATTCAGTTAGCTTTTTCACGAAGCTTTGCCTCAGAGTACTGCCCGCCTGCCGGAAGAACAGGCCAGTGCAGAGAAGTGTGTAGTAAGTACTCAGGATGCACGGCGGACCGCTGTGGGCGCAGAGAACCATGAGCTTGGGTGTGGCGGGTGGTAGAGATCACGGAGGGTGATTCCTCATTTTATTTTGTATTTGCAATGTAAATCACTGACTTGTTGCATGGAAAAAATTGTTATTGCCAAACAGTTGATTGAACACTTCAAAATAGTAAATGGATTTACAGAAAGCATGTATTCTTGATTTGTGTGCCTTCTGGGTGTTGGAATCCACTTACTTAGAAAGACTAGAGTCAGTATGGCAGGGCCACAACAACATGCCAAACAACAACCCTTTTGGTGCTTCCTAGGCTATTTGTGAATCACAACGAGAAGTACTACTTAGGGTCTTAGTATTAGTAAAGGGGGTTATTTTTAAAGTTATCCAACATTAGGGGAAAACCCCTGCCTTCAAGTACGCAATTAGCAATCCCAGAGAAATAGCTCAGCCTATCACGAGTAAGTACCGAGCCTGAACTGTGTGACTGACCGGTGGTCTCCTGCACCGGGTGAGGCACAAACAGACAGGAAGTCAAAGGAACTAGGATAAGCAGCTATTAACAGCTGGCTCCGTGCTAGGTCGTATTGCTTTATTAAACCGTCACATCTTCCCCATAGCTCCCTGAAGTCTGCATTACTCCTATTGCACGGCGACTGCGAGAAATGACGTCACCACACCGACAAGGCCCAACAGCTGGTTTAGGGTGGAGCCAGGGTTCCTGGCTGGGTCTGTGGGCCTCACAGCCCATAGAACCATGTGCCCTCCCAGCACTCGGTGAGAGACGCCTGTTCTAGCATTCTTCAGGGCTTTTCACCATCTGGCCACTTGTCCCTTGTTCCAAACGACTTGCCTAGATCACCACGGAATTGGACCCTGCTGTGAGAGAGTGGTGGACGCGCCCACAGTCCTCTAAGCTGGGAACAAAGGTGTCCCAGGGAGAAGCGAAATTGCTGAAGAAGTACTTTGTTACCGTTTCTGACTGATAAGATTTATTAATACTCAGGACCACCTTATATTTGGGCTAGCATCTTTACATCGAAATTTACACCAAGAGCTTTTGAAAAAAGTGCTAATATTTTTTAAATGGGTTTCAGCTCTCTTGAGCCTCTTGGGCTTCACAGTCAAACTAGCAGAATTTTTTGTTTCCTTGGCAATTGCTATTCTAGTAACGTCTAGTAAGTCTAGCATAACATCCTTTTTTCTTTTCCTTTTTCCTTTTTCTCTTCCCTCCTTATCTTGCGAATAGGGTAGGGGGCCTTTGATGTACACCAGTGTTGATAACCTACCATTAAGATTCCCACATGCTTGTTACTAGGTCGCTGGAGGTAGAATGCATTTATGTCGCCTTTCAACACAAACAACCTCTTTTAAAAAGGTTTTATTTTCTACCATAAAATGCGAGAAATGCTTCAAAATATAATGCGATGTAAACTTTTTAAAAATGGTGTTGATTTTATGAATTAGACCTGGACTCTTGATCCATTGAACTCTAAACAACTAGTTTTACGATTTACTGAGATCTGGTCTTTTGTTGATTTTTCATATTACTGTGTTTTGTGTTCCAGTTGATTAGGCCTTCTGTGTGACTAGACTGAGTCTTTCTTTGGTTTGAGTCACAGACAACGTGGGTTTGAGACCCTGTCAATCCCAGGGCCTGGCGTGATGATGTTTGCATGTGTGTTCCATTTGAGAAGATGAAGTTTGTTTGTTTGCTCTTTAATTCTGAGCTCTTGGTGAATGAGGAAAGGAGAGTTATCCCTGTCTTGTCAGCTTAATCCTGCTGGCAGCCAGCCTCTTAGGGTGTACAAAATCAGAACACACAGAAGGCCCCAGAATGCCAACAAATTAATATGTGCAAATAATACCAAGCTGTGAAAAACCAACACATGATCATTCAACCCAAGGTTGTTCATGTGTCCCTGTGGGTGACTGGGGAAGAGATCATGCAGTTATACAAGGTGCTGAAATTAAGAGGAGTGATTGAGTGCTGTATTCAGTGGATAAGATGTTAGGGATCAAAGTTTTGTTTCATTCAAAGACACTCTTACTACTTTTAGGACTCTGGTTTGAAATGCAAACAAGAGTGCTCTGTGGAGCCTGCTCATGGCTGTTGGGGCACAACAGGCCACTTCTGTATGTAGGAAGTGTGTGTGTGCAAGTCCAAAGGGAATTGAGGCCCGAATGGGCGGGCCTCGCCAATTAACAAATAGAAAGTTTCCAGAACATTTTGTTTTAAGCCAGGTGCACACGCTAGAGCTGCTCGGGAGCACTGGCCTTCAGGCATCTGAGACTCAGGCCTGGCGCTCTTCTTGGTGGCTTGACAAAATCCATTGAAATGAAGTACAAATGCCCTGGAAGAATCTTTCTTTCTCACGTACCTTTGTGGTAGCAACGAGTGTGCAGGTTCTCCTGCCTTTGTGATGTGCCTCGATGATCTGCCACTGACCTGGAAGGGCACTGGGCTGAGCAAGTCTCTGTGTGAAGAGTGTTTTCCACTCACTTACTGAAGATGTCCGTGATGGTGGAATGCAGTATTCTCTGCTGACCCTAGTTCACCATCATCCAGAGGACAAGAGAAACCTGAATTGTAAAGAAATGGAGAGTAGTAATTCTGTTGTAAATGGCCGTGGAATACTTTTTCTGAAGCTGTCCTGTGAAGAAATCGGCTGCCACGTCCTGTGTTAACAGATTATGTAATCTGTGTTCTCCCCAGTCTCTATGTCTATATGTGCATCTCTCTGGGGCTGACAGTTTTCCATCTGGACAAAGATGGCAAAGCTGTTGTCCCCAGGCCAGCCCACTGCTGCTGTGGCTGCCATTCTGTGTCTGGTCTGCCGCCAGAGTTCCTGCCCCAAAGACAAGCTCTCTGCTTAGAGAGCAGGACACCAAATGCTTCTCGTCCACAGCAGTAGCCCCTTCTGTTACAAGCGTGCTAGAAAGGCAGCCTGTGTAGGACCGTTGATGGGAAGCTGGCTGTCCACAACCATGGGCCTGGCTGTGGGAGGCGTGGGACGTGGCAGGTGGAGGACGACTGTAGGGGTGGGGAATGAAGGGCTGCTTCTCGCTCTCTGTGGGGGCAGGGCACCCTTCGGAGGAGGAGACCTCGTTCCCAAGTGTGTTTTTTGAACAGTTTAATGGAAGAAAACTCATGCTAATTTATTCTTCATGTACACCCTGCAATTTGTTTGAAAAGTAAAAGAATAGTTTGAAGTTCTTTGGTCAGTTGATGGGTTTTATGCTAGGGCCATAGCAATGAAAACATTAAACAGCAAATATCCAAGCCCACAAGCAACAAAAGTGCGGAATGAACCCAGCCCTACAATAGGACTCTGAAAAGCGAGGGCCAAGAGCCTAATGAAGAATTGACTGTGACCTTCCGCAAAATCCCCAGAGTGCTGTTGAGAGATCATTCGTTTTCAGCTTGCATGTCAAGATGGGCTCTAGGAACCAGGGAAAAAGAGCTTGAGCCAGTGCTTCAGAATCTTTACCACACACTGCATTTGGCTCACCTTCAAAGGACCCTTGTAACTGGATTTGGAGCTGTCACTGGACTGTAGGCTCTGGAATGCCACATTAAAAAACAGGAATAATTCCTAAGACATGAATATATCAGTACCTTGCCTTCCCCCCCCTCTCCCCCCTGGAGTAGACCTTGAAAAACAGCAATGGATGGGCTGCCAGAATCCACTTTTGTCATGCTGATGGCATTGTAAGACAGACTCACAGCCCTGAGATCCTGGGGCCTGAAAGTATTTGCCCATGACCTGCCTCCCTTTTTGGGGGAAGAGATACAGAAACAAAATAGCTAGGTTTCTAAGGGGCCTGTCCTGAAGAAATGATCAACCCTTCTGTGTTATTATATATATACTGCATCAGAAAAAGATACATATATTAGTTATTTTGGAGCTTTTTAAAGAACAGCGAATCTAAGGTGTTTGTTTCCCCCAAATTCCTAAATATTTATGCATGAATGAACTAGCAGAGAACATCCTTTGGATCTTATCTGAGGGCTGAGGAGAGAAATA